TAGTTGCTTCCCACAAAGCTTGTAAGTTATAACGCTAGATCAACGTTCTGATGAGATACGCTGATCTGTAGAAAAAACTAGCCCTATTGATCCGCGTGTGTGCAAGCCATGTGACATTTGGAAATTCCCTACAGATGTTCCTCACTATATCAAATATGCTGAAGATCTTTGGCACACAAATATTTCTAGAAATGTTGCTGGAATCTGATAGGAATAACATATGAACTGCTAACTGCTTACAATCAACTTACCCATTTCATATCATTGCCCATAAACCAAATGCTGTGTCCGTGAAACCTGTTGTCCCCTTTCTACTATTAGCAACTCCTCGGCTTACAAACTAGAAAACGGTGATACAAATAGCGGTACATTTTACTTACTAGGTTATTTGCTCTAGGACCAGATGGCAGATTCATGATCAAAAATACTACCATTTATAGTTATTTTATTATTTTGAATTTGTGTCGCACAAACCATGAAACCTATTCACTGTATAAAGGGTCATTCCCGTTTATCGGGCCGTGTACCGCTTTTTAGCTAATATACAAATTTGTTTATCTATGTATTTGTCATCGTTGCATTTGGTCTATAAGTTTGCCTGTGTGCTTATTTGTTCGCATTTCTGGGGTTGGTAGAGGATTGATATCCCCGATATGGCTGGGTTTAACGTGATGTTGACAAGGTGCTTACCGATCGAAAAGCACCACCTCGGTTACTGGCTCAAGGATACCACTAATTGTTGCTGTGGGAGATGGAGTGCACAGTCCTTGTGAAGGCGCAACGTTCAAAGATTAACTCCACCCAGAATTGAATAGGCTCCGGCTTAGCCTTCGTTTTATATACGTCAGTTATACATCTCCACACAAGTTCATAAGCATTTTGTTCACGTTGCAGGAGTGTGGAACGGCTCTAAATCAATAGTAACTTACAACCACATGCCTTCCAGTTTTGCTCTTTTCTGATAACACTAAATATGGGATGTGTGGTTGGAGCTGCGAATGGTTCAGCGCAAACCACTCATGGTCCTTATGTAGGCGAAGGTGTCATGTTGCTTTTCGCACTCGCAGGGATGCATGGCTATAGATCTCTACATGATCAGTGAAAGCAAGGTAGGGTGAAAAGTATCACTACCGCAAAAGTGAAACGGAACATCCCTTTGTTTTCGTTTTGATCTCATACCGTTTTATCTTGCTTTTTTTCTTGTAATTGTTGAGCCGTAAACAAATGAGACGAAGAATCTGGGCCTGCAAATCCGCCAATGACTTCCGCTACGCGTCATATCTTGAAGCATTTCGAATCATCGGTATTCCTTGCATGTACGTTCCCACCCAGGCAGACGCATGGATCCCAATGCGGCTAGACAGGATGTGACCGAGCCATCTCCATTAACACAAAACTACCAGCTTATTGTAGAGACACTCGCATTCAGAACGGATACTATTCAACCGAAGGCAATTACCTTGATAATTGTGGTCACGATCGAAGTTCTGACCCGGTTCTTCTAGAACCACCTAGACGTAAAGCACGCATCTCCACCATGTGCGAACCAAAAAGGATAACTTCAATTTATGAAAGAAGTGGCGGTTCTGACTCAGTTAATTACCACCACTCCGTGCGTCTACTTCTGGGGCTCTTAAAGTTTGTAGAAGTCATGTTTTATTTGGATGAAAGTAAATGCCTACAACACCGATTGTGCAATACCAACCTACTGCAGGCACGAGTCAGCTAGACTAAACAAATAGATGCCAAAATGGGAGTTGTTTTAGCCCACTTTGACTTCTCCAAATTATCCACTTGGTTGAACCATCATATTTTGCTTTTCATACTCAAATTTACGGCTATGGTGATTTTCTCCTAGAGTGGAAATCAAACCTTATATTTTGTGCTTTCGGGGTTAAAAATATAGTGACCAGTGTCATACTGTATTCAAGTCGGATGCAGCGTATCGCAAGGTTTGAACTTGGCACCATTCATGTTACTGATGATTACTAAAGATGCGGGGAGCATAAGCACTTCTTACTGCCTACATTATATCGATAGTATTAGGCCATGAACGCTGTTAGGAGCGTCAGCTAATCGCACGCATATTCATTCAGATATGGGCAAGGTTCAAGCATGATCGGCCGGGAAATGTAGTAGACCTCGTTTACGACACGGAACTGGGTGACTAAGCTCTGTAGAACTCAGCCCGCTGGGAGGATCTCCGAGTCACGGTTCAGGAAGAACTCAGTAGCTAGGTATAGTCCGACATGGTATCAAACCGACGAATTACAACATATGAGTCTCCTGCGGAGAGCATTCAGAAGCTTTGATTCACAGATTTTCCGATAACTTACCAGTGCTTACGTATACCTTTAAGCGGAACATACTACGAAAGCCCGGCAGCCGTAGTAGAAGCGCGATGTCATCATTTCGGACATCCCGCAAATTTGGATGACCAAAATCTCAGCAATCGTATCATCGGACTTGCGAGCAGAGACTGAGCCTATCGGATATTTCTAAAGAACAGCGTCGATGTTCGAGCGTGCTGCAATCATTCAAGTTACGCAACTTATGGTTTTACCTGTTAAGGCTTATATTTAGCAACAACTTGAACCGTCGCCATCTCAGAGTGACAAAGCATTACAGACATCGAAACAACTTTTACCTGCGCGGTTACCACACTTGGAATGTTCACTCGAAATCTGTTACCTATGCACCCCCTTGAAGATATTCAAGATATTCAAGACCATATAATCCAGATGAACAATTTAAAACGCAAAGCATACACATGGTTTGGTAGGTAAACAAAGGAGTGATTCATCTTAGTTGCAGCAAAAGTTATGTGAAAGATTTCGTAGACAAAACGTTGATCGGTAAGGTTACCATCATTAGGTGTCAGTGGTCTTCATTTCCAATCCCTCACCGACCAACTCGCGCGCATGTGAATTCTTGACTAGCACAGGTTGCTTACCACTAACCAGATATTTTCTAAATTTTATTAACAACGTTCTGTAATCAAACGGAGAAATCGCCAGGTTGTCACGCTGGAAGAGGCGAAGTCACGAGGACAGATGCTACGGCTAACGTTATGAAGTGCGTGCACCCTTACGCAGTCTGTCATTCATCGAGGTTTTGTTGGCACAATTGGACAAAAAGTAAAAGAATTCACGCCACCAATGTGACTGCGTCACATGGCGTGCAGACCTGTCTGAATTTAGTTTAGAATTTTACAAGCCACCAACGGGACTCTTTCGAAAACTAACCAAATGATTGGATTCAGGTGAGACTGTTTGGTAAACTGAACTGCATAAAGTGAAGTTAAGAGCATTTTATTGGACTAGAAGGTCATGCTGAAGCCGTCTTAGTGTGAATAAATTGTGACACGATCTCACCTAGTACAGCCATTAACTTTAAAGTAAATTTCAGTTGCGTAGCGGGCGGATAACGTCTGTTTCAACTACGAAACCAGCGACTGAATTGGCTGGAATTCACTACAGATGAATTAGCTGTACAAATTGAAATTGGGGTTTGCAATCGGCTCACACACAGACAGTGTTCCAAAATGACCCTCCTAGTCGCCGTGACAAGCGTTGCTCGTCATGACTGCGTGGTTTAGGAGCAAGGATTCTGTTGACATCAGCAGCGTCTTGGTACGAGTCGCAGGCCTACTGCTTTTGTCTGATGATCTCAAGTAGGGTCGAAGGAGGTCGTGAAGTGCAGTATCGTAAATAGGGTCCGCCTAACGTATATCAATGAGAATATCTACTTAGCCTGAAACGTTCATGGCCTCTGCATAGATGTTGCAAACAAGTACCATGCGGAAACTCCGACAGCATTTGGCTTAACGTTTCGTCTAGTCCTCACTTAACGCCGCAAGCCTTGCCCTGTATTTCGACCGCAATATAATCACATACATTTATGTCCTTGATGTTTATTGCTCGATGTTTATTTATCGGTTAGCTACCACATAGAAAGGGAGCCTATTGATTTCAGAAGTTAATAATTTTTGTTCTACTAGGCAACACATCCAGCGTTCCCTGCTCAACTGGCTGACACAACGCTGGTAGATCTTACGTTAGACAGCATACCGCCGAGGTGCTGTAAAAGAATTATAGTAGTGGTGATTTTCTTGATCTGTCAGCCACAGTTTGGCGGCAAACATCCTGGTGGCTGCGGGGCTGTGAGTTGGCCCGAAGATGAGATAGTCTCGGATTAATGGCATAGGAAAATTCCACAGAGGGAAGCGCTGGTTGTTGTATCGAAAGTGTTGATGAGTTTGAGCTGGTTATTTAGTGGGGTTGCAGGCAAAAATCTGATGCTCTTACCTTACTATGCCATGGTAAATTGCTGACCTATAGCATTGTTTCAAGCTACGATATCAGAAAGATGTATCTGCCTCAGAGTATGATTATCAACGAAGTAACGAAGAGTATGTCGAAGCATCAAACTTCCTCTGGTAGTTTCAGTAAATTTAGACTCAGTGGGAAAGTATACTTACGCAATGCCTAAGTTTAATGGCTTTCAGAATCAGATTTGATGCAGGGGAAACCGCGACGGACAATTTTAAGTAAACTGTGGGCTCAGTATTAAGGCCCAGATTTGATAGTCAATACATCATAGTGGAGCTCAACAGGATATTTTCTGACGCTTACTTCTCTCGTTTCTGATTTCAGGATAATCCACACTAATGAAATGTAACTAACCCATCGTAGAAATGCTACGCACAACACAGCGCTCACATACGACGGATCATTACATGCTGGGCTACCACGACGTTAATTGGAGTCTACATGAGGAGTTCGCGTGCTTCTCATGGAGTAATGCTAGTTCTGTTTAATCAGTTCAACGTTTCCGTTGTTCAAGTGTTGTCCGATCTTGGCAGTTTGGTTACAAACTTTTCACCACCTTTCGAGGTAGCCTCGTTAGTGCAGTGGGACACAGCTGGGTAACTACTGATTTATAGGGAGTAGTAAAACAGGGTCCCTCACACACTGCATATTCATTAACGCGTAACTAGTAAAACGTAACAGTTTATGAAGTTCAGTCGAGAATGCAAAATTTCTTTTAATATGAGGACTACTGCAACAGCATTGCGGTCATTTAGAAGCAGCACTGGACACGAAAGGAGGGGTAAAGAGATCCCGACGAGTCAACCGGACATCAGTTATATGCGAAGTAGTACAAAATCCATTCGGTACTCATGAAAAAGTCACTTTAGACCACACATTATAATGTCATGGACTGGAATCGAATCGTTTCGTCTCATTGGTCTTTCAGTGTCTCCAACTCCGGCTACTGTAAGCGCATTTCCCTGTAAAAACAGAAGTGGAAGATAGCTTATACAACTATTCAGCTGGAGTTTATGAGTATTTCAATTATGTTCCAGCAGTGGCTATGTCAAGCAAACGATAGGAACCCAAAAGCAGTCAAAGGTATTTGTGTGCAGATTTCAAATATATGTCAAGGCTAGCCTTATTGAACACAGTCCTGTTGCTCTTCAAATTTTCACGATAGGTGATGGAGCACTCTATTGGTTTAATTTGGAGTAACACGGCAGATCACTGTGATAGCTCAGTGCACAGTCAGTAAAAAAGAGTAAATTGACCTTCACCTTTTTAATTAGTTACCGCTGTGAGCTGTGGTAACGCGGTGGCAGCTGGTTGACATTGCCGAGGTCACCTGACTGCAAACAACAGAACAGTGAATGCACTTAAAAGCGCCAATTTCAAGGTCTGTCAGATTAGCCAGTATTGATACATCAAGCCACAGCCAAACACTGGCCTACTACATATGATTTGGGTCAGAAGTACCAGTTCAGGTGCTAGAATATGGCAGACTAAAAGCTCCCGTGGCAGAGCTGTACGCTGTCGGACGCGTCCCCAGTTTGCGGATTGAGGAATGCCTTCCTTGTGGTGGTAACTGTGAATAAGTCTCACTTGCTTTGCAGCCGAGATGAATAAGCAGTCTCGGACAATCGGCGGCAGCGTCTCAGCGCGTGGGGAATTCCGGGATAGTCAACTGGTTCTTCATTAACTACCGCTTGAGGTCGCAAGGCGCTGTCTCAAAGCCAATGTGACCGGCTATAGGGTCACTGACCACTCACTTCCGGTCACAGCAGTGAGTAACCAACGAACGGCGGATGAAAATCATTGTTGACCAACGGTTTCTCTGTGAAATGCTTCTGAACACAAAAAGCGAGTGAGTTGCCCGGCTGTAAACGTTCGTCCTGAATCACCCCACTGCCTCAAGGGTCAGGTCTTTATGACCAAGGGTTCGGGGTAAGGTCTCTTAAGTTAACCCTCTTCCTCGGCCTGAACAACCGGGAAGACCTCTACCCACACAACGCATGAACCTCCTAAAGGTTTCAAACACTGCCATCGACTACCAGATATTTCCATTTTTGTTGTTGTTAACCACGTGTTGTGGCCCTGTTACCTGTATATTGCTCAAGTGTTTAATAATAGAATAATAAACACATTAAAAAGGAATTTGCATGTTACTCACCTGTGTTGATCTTCGTTGTCGCGTAAGTGCTCTGTTCATAGGACCAGTCAAAACCGAGCAGGGTAAATTCATAAAGTGTGCAGTTTCTCAGTCTGGTAACTTCATAGCTACGTTGCGTACGATCCAAAAATTCATATCCGTCAATTGATCGTCCATCCGGTCGATACCAAATAATGAGAAACTCCGACGTGGGTTCTACCGGCTCATTCCACCACAGTTTCACACCTTCTGCAGTGAGAGCAGTTCTCGAAAACGCTGTTGTATTAACGAAAGAACACATTGCGTATTATCCGAGCAGGGATTGGGAAAATGTTACTTAGTGTTTAGAGTAAAAATAAGCCACAATTCTTTACTACCGACACAGTTATATCAAAGTAAAGGAGCCCTCAATATCCGGTAGATGCTTAAGGCTGGTAATTCATTTGCTGCTGCGTTACGTTATAGCTAGTGGCATTCACTACGTACACTTAAGGCTAAATAGGAATGTAGCCAATTCCGCAAGCGTGATTTCTAATGGGTTATGTTAGTTTAAGGTTTCACGATGTTGCATCTATGAAGAAGAATAGGACTGTGTAATTGCTGAAGAACTCACACAACGCATGTTCAACTCATACCAAATAGACAAGTAAAAAGTCTCGAACACCGGAAGAGGCAGAGGCTAACGTACGGATGCATTCTATGTAGATAACGGGTCTCAAACAAGCATATGGGATTAGACGCTGTTCGGTGGTCCATTACATAATAATTTTTATGTAGATAAAATGTGTTCAAAATTAATGTGTGCACAAGCTGCTTTACTTACCATTTTTGCTGAAATTGGTATTTCCAGTACATGGTGAAACAGATGGCATATTGAATAATATCCCGAGATTTACTTAACTATACTGATCGAGATACGATGACCACCTCAATACAATAAACAAGACGTAACCTATATACATATATACATATATATATTATATATAATATAATATAAGCGTTCACCTTTGTCTGTTTGCAATTTGTCTATCACATGCATTATGAAGGAACGTTATTTGTAAAAAGAATCAAAGAAGCCCGATGTGTAAAGGGTAACTGGGACATACCAGCTGTCGTATAACCGCAGAGGAGCAACAGGATAAAGACCACAAAATTCAAGGCTCGGCGCATCGCTGTCAATGGAGGATATAGCCTCGGTTGCCAGTCAGGCTCCTTTTATAATAACCGTGAGCCGGGTGGTTGGGATGAACACAGGACGACACGGTAGACAGAAACAAAGCACCCCTCGGTGAGGGGAAGTGGACCCAATGTGATCGCGATTCATTTATCTGATGAAACGGATCATGTGGTCACTACTGCGTTGTAAACCAACAATCAATCAACCAACCAATGAGGTAAATTGCAGCAATGTCGCGTGTTTCGGTGGGACAGGCGCAGTGGAGTTGTAAGTTCTCATGCCACTCTGTAACGTTTATGAGATCCGGTGACCTGACGTGTATGTGGTGACGTTAAACATTCTGTATAACGCCTTACATAGCTGCAAAAATGGAATACTAATGCATCCAGAGCGCCGTGTTAGGAGTGCCTTATGGTATTACCACATGGTAGTCGGTCATTAGGCATCTAAACAGTCCACTCTACATGAAAATCCTCTGTCCGGATGGACGATACCTTTGACTGTACAAGCCCATGCTAGATTCGAGGGCTTTTTCTGAAAGCTGCTCGAATACGACAATGTTCTTTTGTCTACTCCTTGTACATTTGAGTTTTTTGTACGGAATACACTATGGTCTATGACAGCCCACCGACTATGCCAGCCCAACGACTCCCTCGACGTGCGTTTTTTGCTCACCGGGGATGTGGGTGGAAGAAGAGGAGAGGTGGCCAAGCGATGACTTGGTCCAGAGGAATGAAGGCCCTCGCTTCGGAGCTGGCCTCAGTTGGAGCTTCACGGCTCCCTGGTTGGGGTCCAAAAGACGGTGAACACGTTTGGCTGGATACACTTGCTGATATGACAAGGGAGCCGACCTCAGTGGCGTTCCTGCTGTGAGTTTCTTTGTCCCTCCCTGTCCATTTTAGCCTCCCCTCCATCTACGATCTCATTTCGTAGGGTAAAACATAATAATTTTTTTTGCCTAGTAGCTGGACTGGTAGCTTACCGGAACGATGCCTATCCGTTGCTGGTAGCTCAGCTGGCATGCAACTGTCGTATTTATTTTTTCCTTTATGTATTGTATGTATGTATGTATGTATGTATGTATGTGCCCCATGCTGAGGCTGATGTTGCATTCTTGATGCTTCTTCACCGCAGTTGGGCTAAACCAACTTACACTTAAACTAGGTCTTTTTAAGCTGGCTAAATTTCATTCCGCTTTATTTGGTTTGTTCTGCCTCCCTGAATAATGTTCTATTAACTGGCCACGTTGCTTACACTAATTGCGCTTATCTTCGGTAATTTTGCTGCGTTTGTAGCATTTAAGTAACTTGTGGACATTTCTTACTTATCACGGATTTGTTGCTAACCAACTTACTTCATATGGTAATTTAGCGAAGAGTTATGCCGCCGTATCTGTATGCATTATTGGATTTATTTTATTTCAGCTTGTCGTTTAAAGTGAATGGCTGTTGTTTGATATCTCTGGTATGGTTGCGCTTGATGTGTATGTTGACAAGGTGCCTACCTGTCTATTACCCACTACATCGTTCATACTGGCTCCAGGAGACAGTTGGTCGTTGCTGGAGGGGGGGGGGTGCACGGTTCTTGTGGCCGTGCTAGGCTCAAAGAGCGGTTCCATGCACTCAGTGTGGAGCGGACTACGGTCCAGCCACCGCCTTGTGTGCGGTTGATTCCCCAAAATACAGCGTGCTTGTGTTTGCCTGTGAAGGAGTGTGGGGCCGGCTCCGTTGATGAAACGTGGTTCCCATCCGCATGCCTCCCGGTCTTATTCCTTCGGGTTTACACTGGATATGGGGTATGTGGTTGGAGCTGTGGGTGGTGCAGCGCAAGCCATCCATGGTCCCTCTGTAGGCGCAGGCGTCCTGTGGCTTGCCACAGTGACAGGCAAATCCGAAACCGGATGCCGCCAACCATGTATGTATTTCCTTTATGTATTGCGGTACAATAGCGGAGGTGTTTTACCATCTCTAGCTGACATGTATAATGAGGATGATGATGATGATGATGGTCTATGCTAATTACAGAATAGCGCGCACCAGGTCTAAGAAGTCAATGTTGGATCTTGGAGCACCTGCCGTGTGCCTGAATTGCGACACGTAATCCCGATTGAGATTACAGTTTGCGTTGAAGCAAACCCATGCCATTTCGATAACTGGGACCGTGTCCGAGAGTTTTAGAGCTGCTTTCTTTCAACACTGCAATCCATGACCGACCTGGATACGTCCTCATTTGATCTCGTCAGGAAGCGATTACTTGAGCTGAGAGCGGAGCTCAACACAGAGCTCCATAGCAGCGCTTGACACAGCGGTAGGAATATCATTATTGGGTCTTTGAGTGACCGCTGTGTGCCTCGCTCGCAACGCGCAATCTCATTTGAGGTCATAGTTTACTATGAAGCTATGTCATTTCGATCAACAGGACCGCGTCCGAAGTGGAGCATTTAGGAGCTGTTCTCTCCCAACACTGCACTGCACGACCGACGGTTGCATCCAGATATGAACTCTTCAGGTAAAGATAAACTAGAAAAATGTTATGTACGGAAGCAAGTCCAGAATGAATTCTAAAGTTTGCGGAAATTAAAAGTAAATTGACGGAAATCTTTACCGTGTAGGACCATAAGTAACCTGCTAGTGTTGAGTAAAATTTAGAAGATTCCAGCTACTTAGCCATGTTTGACATTCCGTCAGAGGTGTAGCATAGCGGAGGGGTTGGAGGGACGATCCGCCCAGAGCGGCGTGTCACAGGAGCGACATATAGTATTGCGGTAAATTATTCGATATCAAATAGAAAGGGCAAAATTTACAGATAAGCTATGGGTTGAATAGTTTAATGTTGCTAAGTGAGACCAACAACACCTTTAACGTCATGCGTCCTCTGTGCAAACGTTCCTCCTAGTGATCCCCTCACTTTTCCCATTGGCATCACTTTTACCACATTTACTTCAGTGTTACAACCCATCATCCTTTACATGGAAAGCTAATGTGCACCTTACTCTGGGCCGATTGTGTGACCGTCACACGACCGCGTTCTGCGCTTAGTCAGGGCGAAAAATCTGTCACCGCCTCGGATCGCAAAGTTACTTGTTATGCTACCGCATTCAATTAGACACTTCTAAGTGAATGTAAATTGTCAAAAGTTCTTGGCTAGCGAGCAGCTGAGTTAGGTACTATCGGATTAATTGCTGAGAGACGGAACCGAGGTGCAAAGAGCTAAACAGACGTACCAGATCAGCAACACAAAGTGAATGAGTGCGTCTGCTTTTGCTGGAGAGCAAACAGTAGGCCAACACCATCATATATGAAATAGATAGTGGAATATTTAAAGAACTATAAACATATGTCGCAATGAATGAGATTGTAAATGATGGCAGTTCTGTGGGATAGGATTTCGTTAACATATTAACGATGAGTCATCAGTGATCGTCTTAGGGCGGATACAGGAATCGAGTGTGGCAAATGAGATTCCAGTAGTCTTTCGTAAGAACAGACCCAACCAAGTACAATGGTCATTGACATGTCTATTGACCAACTTCATGTGACCGAAACATCAGATGACAGAACCACAGGAACGCATTACACAGCATGAAGTCACATGGTGACACATTCCTACGAGAATCTTTTAACGAAATTCCGCAGATTACCTTGAGGATAGGAATAACATAGTTAGGCAGAAAATAGAGAATTTCCAAAATCACAGCGGATAGGGATTTGTGCTACTATGGCGGTTAAATATGCCGATGGATGGAAATCTTACGTTAGGGCGTTCAGCAACATTGGAACAATCAGTTTATCTGCTGTGTAAATGCTTTGCATTACGATGATTCGTTAGATGGAAGAATAGACGAAAATATCGGGAGTGGTGCTTATGTCAATCCCAAAAAGAGAAATACGTTCGGTAGTTTCAGCACAAACAATTTTTTTCGATATGCTGGTCATCAGTACAGAAATAAACAGTAAAAGGCTGACAAAGTCACCTGTGATCAATAACATTCGAATCGAGTTTATCGATGCATGTTTGGCGGTAATGTGATGAAAGGCACGTGGGATGGCTGGGTTAGGTTCGACGCCTCGCGTGTGCATGATGGCTATGGGAGCTGCAACGCTTGGATATGTTTCTTTTAGAAGCATAGTTTCACATTTGTTAGTCTTATGCACATCGTACCCACGGTAAAATCTCCTCGCGCACTTTGCCGGTTTATGCTGGTATGGTGCTTTGTACATGATCCCAAAAGCAGTCCTTTTCTCAATACGGTGACCAGTGCTGATCAGGTGGATTGTGCTCCTACTTAAGTTGGTTCTATCTCCTTGTTTTATGAGTCCATCTTGTGTCGGAGCCCCAAAACTGCTTTTCGTCCGCTTAAGGTAGTGAGAACACGTACGACAATCCTGGTACGAAACCATCTTACACGCAGCACACCAAACCGGCCATCCAGTGTCCGTGAATTCAAATCAACAGCATAATTCAAATCTGGGTGTATACAAATGCTATGCAGAAAAAGATGCCATTCATTGAATCAAGGCTGGCCATTCCATAGGCGAAGGATCGATACGGTGTCTCACAAACGAGCGAACTGTACAGAGTAAGGGAAAAGCCATTAAGCATAAGATTCAGTGTTAACCCAAGCTAGTCACAAATGTGCGAAAACAGAAAACGTATGTGGGGAACCGTAAAAGAGGACGGAATGATTACGAGTGAATGAGGCGCACTCACCGAACAACGGAGAGTGGAGAAGTTTCCTTACCACGGGTATAACAGTCCATATGACAAATGATTAGTAGTACGTCCAATGTATCTAGACCCACAGGGACAGGTACTCATGTGTTTTGGTAGTAATAGAAAGCATACTTGTGTTGGCTGCAAGTTTATGGAGTCAAAACCAGGTATTTGCACCCCTATCCCTAAGCCCGGTAAGTAAGTGAGTTTGAAAGAGCAATTTGACACAGGATTTAAAACCAATGGGCCTTTGGTACGCCCTTTTGAAGATCGACAAACTCCACGCTAGTATGTACAGCCGTGCAATACGTCCATCATGTATTTGACCTACGCATGTTACCCACTTTATTGTACGGCGTCCCAGTTCAGGCGTCGGGAGGACAGTGATGTCGAAGAGTGGG